TAAAATTACAAGGATTTAGATGAGCATTGGCGCATGGGGTACATGTAAGTCCTTACTGTTACCATAAGCTGATGAGGCAAAATGTTGACCCAATATGGTCTAAGCTCTCGTAAGTGACCACCTCCTGTAAGCAACCACCTGGGCTTCAAATTCTGGATAGTCTCTTACAGGAGGTTCGACTGTATGTCAAGTTAACAAATACAGTCGAACCCATATTATGCAGCCACCTATTAAACACCCACACCTATTAGGCGGCCAGTTATCAAAGTCTTCACGAGGGCTTTTCTATTGTTTTCCCCTCTATTAAGCGGTCAGCCCCGTTTAAGTGGAAACTATCCATTTCCCGGATGTTGGCTGTTTTGTAGGGGTTGAAATGTAGTTGCTGTGCGTCTGTTCAGTAATTACATGTACAAAGAACAAAAAAGTGACACACAATGCGATAGTCGAGTGTGTCACTGATGTTCTTACCACATTTTGTCATGTCTAGTTCGATCAATCACTGAACAGATACGCGGCAACACGGAATCTATCTGTTTTATATCATAAAAAAAAAATGTTGATTGTGTCTTCTATTCAATGTAGGTCTATCCTTACTAATTGATCATAAGAATCAACTGGAATTTGAGAATAATTTGAAAGATGATCTGTGAGGTCTTTTAATAATTGTATCCCTCAGCCAAACCAATATAATGTTATTGCAGCTGTCAATTAAAATGTACATTGCTCCTCGATATTCATATGCAAGATATTCAGCAATTACCTAGACAACTATTATAAGTAAAGTACTATACATACGCATTTGGTATTCCATACTGATTTAGAAAATAATGGATTTTTAGACTGGCCATCTGCACTGTTAAGCAGTTTGACAGTACATGCACTTGTTGTGATTTACATGCATCTTGATTTGTTATGAATGTTGGATATTTATGTAGTAGTGAAACATTGCTTCTCTCTTTCTTTCTTTCACATGTAGAATAGAAAGAATAGCATTACAAGAAATGTGGATATACTATCAAGCTTCAGGAGGCTATTCCATTGTTATAAATGTATATTATATTTAAATGTATGTGTATATAGCACTGCCAAGATTAACTAATTTTATATGATAACACTACTTAAAATCAGATTATGAGCTCGAGATTTCTATGAGGTGATAGTTGATGAGGCCAAAGGCCAAATCAACTATCACCTCATTGAAATCTCGAGCGAATAATCCAATTGTTTAAGTAGAATTCTAACTGAAATTTGCTTCAAATAACAATTCCAAATCTGTCTGGTCTTATGTTGAACTTCACGCTTTAGAGAGTTCGTGTGAACTGAATTGCCAATTTGACATTTTCAGTTGTGGGTGCACGCTTATCAGTTTCTTTCAGAAAATTCGAGTTTTTGTTTCTTTAGTTCAAGAAACCGTGAATGTCCTTCTTCAGTGTTCTCAGGAATTTAATTATCCATTTGTTCGCAAATGTTGAGCTGAGCCATTGCACACTGATATTGTGCAATGTCTCAGGCAATCAGATTACAGCATTTGCATTAGAATACTAGTAGAATTCTACTAAATGTGAATACAATGTAGTTAAGAGTAAATCATTTAATGAATGTGTGTTGGTTAAGCATAAAGAAAGTTTCTCTTGAGTTACTCAGATGACACAAACAGTCAGCCAAATTAATTTTTACATGTTCAGTGATTGTATGCACTGTACATATGTACAATCTGGAAGCATTTTCAATTTATATTGGACCCTCCTAAATATGGAGAGCAAAGGGCCAGAACTGAGTGTACATATTATGGAGGTGTCTAAAATTATTGTAGAGGTACAGATTATAGTAATTCTGGTTTTTCTGGGACCAAATAAGCTGTCTTTAGCATTGAGGTGTCCTTGGTGTGAGGTTAAAGTGTATTTTACAGTTATGCAAACATTTTTTTTTTTTTTTGCATAACTGTAACTGTTCCTGACCTACGGGTACATGTAGTTACAACCACTATTTTGACCCCCTTTTGAATTGGATCCTCAAACCCTGCAATCAAAAGCTCTCACAAGGATCTTCTCCCTTAGTAACCATGACCACCTTTGGGAAGTACCAGTTAATCTAATTGTTTGGGAATCCCCAAACTTTGTAATTTATGAAGGCCGGTATCTCACAGCGGGGCAACTAATCAAGTATTGTATTTACGAGAATAAGCCAATCGTTGCTACTTTGTATTTCACTACATAAATAAAACAGCACAGCAAAACCACTCCTTGCAATAAACTTTCAAAGTTTGAATAGTCCACCTTTCCTTTCCGCTTTGAATTCTGTTTCAAGGAATGGTGAATGCCATTGTTCACGCTGCTGAAGAAGATTCCAAACTTTCTCGTTCAGTATTCTTCACGATGCGGCAAGATAAGCGACTTCAGGGACGTGTTGTCAAAAGTTTTGAGTGTCCCAGCCTGACCTCATGCAGCCGATCTTGCCTGAGAAATTCCTGGTGTACTTCAAGCAATTTCAAGATGGCATCCGAGGAAACCGAGAAAGCAACTTGCGAACTGAACAAGCAAAGGTGGTTCTTTTGAACGCTAACGAAAATTTGGCGGCTTTATCTTGCCTAGCAATCATCCCATTTACAAACTGAATGACATCATTTTCATTTCTCTAAAATATTCACTGACATTCCGCAGTCATAGCAACTGTCGTATTCGTATCTGATTTTCATATTCAGAAGTTCTCTCGATCCGTCTGTGTTTTGTCAACATTTAACGTCCGTTCCACCATCAAATCTAAAGGAGATTCACTATTACCGGTGCTATTTTAAAGAAAGTCTGAACCGCTAAATTTAAACATTCCCTGTGACTTAGAGTGTACGTTATTAAACCAAACTGGTTCACAACGCAACTTTTCTTAAGCTGCAAACAATTTTAAAAAAGATGAAACTTCGGTGAACATAAATTATTGTCACATGAATATACATTCTGACAAAGAAACTGGTCTTAGAACCAGTCAGAATCGAGAGTGTATATTGTAAATACGATTAATGCTTAAATACGGAAAAGAGAAAACCAATTAGACTGGAGAGTTTTGTTACGGTTTTTATTGAGGGCAGCTAGAATCATGTGGTTATCATTGTGATATTTATCAGATGTAGTTTCTTATTTTTTTGTTTTTCTAATATCAGCTGAAGGTAAATCACAACTGCGAGTCGAGCTTTCTGTTTTAGGCTGGAAATTAATGGTAAATTTTCTTAGCAATTGCAGAGACATTTTGTTATGCATGAAGGCAAGATCTTCAAGGAAATCTAAATCGGTTCGTTCGCTACAGTGGCTACTGGATATAATGTAATAATTAATGTTGAGATATTCTGCGGTAAAAAATCTACAGGGAATGTTGCTCAAAGACTTATTAGCGATCAACGGATCCACAGGTTTAATGAATATGACTGAGATGGAGCGGTGGATATTTCACCATCATAACCAAAGTCATATTCAGTTTGGCTATCTCCTAGTTTTCTTTCCACAAAACAAGCAGCGTCAGATTCTGTTATTCCAATCCCGTGATCAGCACGTCGACAACCATCTCCTCCTCCACCAATCATCATCACTGATCCATCACCACCATAGTCACACCAGAAGCCGATGTTGTTGGCGCTTTGGATGTCTCCACTGCACTCACCCTGTTGAAACCCGTCTGTTGACTTGTACAGACCGCCGTATTGAACTGTGCAGCTTCCCAGGCACTTGTTCCGGGCCCAAACTTTGCCATTTCTGAAGTCGCCATAACTTGTGATTTTAGATCGGAATGTTTGTCCAGCCAAACAGTTACCTGTGGTCTGTAATAAAGAAGTGTGACCGGGGTCATCACTGCGCGTGATCTTAAACTCTCTGCCGCTGACTAACCAAAATGCGGGTGCGATCATGTCAGCGTTATTCGATGGGTCTGTTGTAGTTCCCATGGCAACTTGCTGGTCATACCACCATAAACCGGTGTCATTCATCCAGTTTTTATCATCATTGCTTGAGAATCGGGCGACCAGAGTCCATCCTTTGTCATTATCTATCATGTGACAGTACACCTAATGAGGGAGTAGTGAGTTTAGCATTCCTTATAAATTATCCGTTAAAAAGTTGTCCTTTGCCTTCGTCAAGTTAGCGAGTGACGTCTTCTCCATTTTCCTTACCTTGAATGACATGCTCCCACTTGTTAGCAAGTATTGTCCATTTGGTAACGTCTCGCCAGCTTTCTTTTGAGTCTCGTCGCATGAAAAAGC